CATTCTTACTACTAGACTGTACTATATTTATAATATTTTTAAGTGTAAATAAATTACCACTAATAGAATACGATTTTCTAAAACCCGCTAATAATAATATTTTGCATTTTCTTCACATATATTTATTAATATGTTATTCAAAATACATGTAAAAGGCTTGTTGTTGATATTGGTGCTTTTACTAGGATTAACTACGTTCCTTTACATTTATGGATTATTTGTTTTTAGTGATTTTAACTTTTCTTTTATTTCATCACTCATCAGTATATCGCTGCTATGAGTTTATCTCTGCAAGCCATCTGTTTTGGAAAAATTGTTCCGGTTAGGTTTTTTTCTTGCGTACATATGTTAGTTAATGATTGAACGGAAAACCAGCTGCATTCGTGCCAATCGCAATTTTTCGACTCTTTCCGTCACTTTCCGGTTTAATGATAATAGCCGATGTAGTTCCTATTGCAATCGTGACAATTTGGGCGATTCCGTCATACTGCGGAATCAGACGAAGTAATATTACGGAAATCTAAGCTATTTTAGTAACTTCGGTAATCCCAGTTTGTTTATATAAATAGGATTTCTATTTTTACTTGATCCGTAATAAATTATAAACGAAATTATTCTGTTTCAATTCTTTTACAAGACGCAAAAGTTAGTTTCTTTGTCTGTATTAGTTTTATACAACAGACAATGGTTACTGTAGTAGTATTCCGTTTCCAAGGGGTGGTCCTGCTTACCAAATCACACAGAATATTAGCGCATGATCGAGTTATATTTAGATCTACTGAACGCAATTCAACGTCTTGGTGAGGTAATCTTAAAATAACCCATGCATATCATTAACCTTACCACGTGCTGATCTATAGCGCATCGTACATGCTTATTAATTGGTACCACGTAACGAAGTATTTTAGTGCATTTACTTGTCTATGAAGCTGCTATATAAATGAAATTAGCAACTGCCAAAACGAATGATTTATCTGCGAAAAAAGTGGAAATGAAATGTGCAACTTGTTTCCCTTCAGTATGATAGATAAGTCTCCACGTTAGTATTTTTACGATTGATTTTTTTTCTTTATTAGTTTTATACAATAGAGAATAGATTTCAAATCGTTTTGACAAAAAATATTCGTTTTTACAAAAAAAAAAACAACAACTAAATAAACCCTTTATGATATACAAATACCGTCATTCAAAAAATTGTGATGATAAATTGAAAAAAAAAAAAATAATTTTAAAGGGTTGGGTTGAAGGCACAACTGAGCAATCCTATCTTTTTAAAAGGAAACTTTATTATGATCTTTACTATACTACTTTAAAATTGTCTATAGTGTTCCGCTTTGTACCTTCAGTACACTATCCTTGTTTTGTGCTATTATGGGTTATGGCGTTTCTTAAACAAATACCGAACCTAAGTATAAGTTTTTGTAACATGTTGCAATATTTTAAACTTATTTTTCTTTAGGACTTCGTTCTCATTCTAGAGCTATAATCAAAGAACTTGCAAAAATCAGAAACAATATCATTTAAGTAAAGACATCATGTCACTTAAAGCTTAATTATCTATTCTATTTATCATATCCGAATTTTCAAAATATCTCCGTTTTTCTCTATTATTTGCTCCGTATCCCACAGTTTTGAAATATTTTCAGTATTTATCTCATTGTTATTTATATAATAAGTATATAAATATCCCACAGTTAAGTGACATTTCAGTGAAAATGTTATTACAAAATGTCCGTCAGAATATAAATCACAAATTGCATACACTTCATCACTCCTTGATATCCTTAAAAAGCTCAAGAGGTCGACAAAAAGTTATCAACAACACGTGCATTACATATTGTTTTAAGATCGGTATTGCCTGTCTCTATTTGTACACTTAAAATAAACAAGAAATCTAACATCGTATATCTATAGCTACCTACAACAGTATCAATCGATTTTCACTTAAGAGAAACTGGGAAAAATTCAGCATTGTATACTCATTTAATTAGTCCATATAAGTCAAATAATTGTCGATTTTTACAAAGGCACTCTATTGTTACGAGGGATGATTCAGAAATACCCAGAATTAAGCCATAAAATTAAAAATAAATGTAAATAAGTTAAGCACACCCCGGAAATTTAAAATTGGTTGTGATTGAAAGAACTGTCATTAGATGACGAATTAAGAAAAAGTAGTGTGATAGTAGCAATAACAATTTATGATCATAAACCAGTCAATTTATGAGTTTAGTTAATTCTTAACCAAATTATTGAAGCATATGCAAATCTGTTGTTTTTTTTCCAAAAATGTAAGTGTTTATACGTATAGTGTTGAGCGTTTACAAAACGTTTACTAGTGGATATTTTTTTGTAAATGTTGACCATAACGTAACCTAAAATGATATTTGTAGCCAAATTTTTAATAACGTGTGTAACCGCCATATGACCGGAAGCGGCATTTTGCCTCAATTTGACATGACCACAACTGAAATTTTAGATTTTATTCGGGCAATGGAACGAACTACCAGTAGTCAACCTGCAACAACTGGAACAAACTCTGCACCAAGAAAATGACAAAATTTACCTCAAAATAGACGCCTAGTAGTATGATGATTATGTTCTTAATGAGGAGATCTTTTGTCGGAAAATCCCGGATGTCATTTACCGTAGGTGTACTTACAATAAAAGCAAATCTATGACTATTGAAATGTCTGATTTTATTGAGTGTGTGCGGCGGGGAGGGGAAGGGTCAGTGTGGGAGGGGATAAGAATCATACTCTTTTTAAAGTTGAATGCATAAAATATGTTTCATTTCTTTATATCATTTCATTTACCAAAAATGTGCATGATAAAATCAGATGTTGCAAAAACAACAAATAAGATATCAGAAAATAAATAAATGAAATGTTTTAATTTTTCTTTACCGTCGCGTATAATTCATAGATTAGAAAATAAAATGAACTCATCAGCTTGTATTTGCTTAATTTCAATAGGAATAAGTTTTGAATAAATATAATACATACTTATATCTTTGATATATGTAATTAATCAGTTAGAATTTATCTAAAATCACATTAAAAATTCTGCAAGGCTGCACACGACGGATTATAAGGATCTAACAAAGGCTGCCGGTACAGGCAGGGATATCTAACTTGAGGGTAACTGTTTACGGCAGTAAGAAGGCTCTGCCGAGTTTCCGCTAAACAATTACCCGAGAGCTAAACATTTCGGTCTGTTACGACAGCTGGTGTTTATTCTTTTTCTTGCATATTACATATTAATAATATTTCGGAAAGACATAACAAACACTTATATTTTCATTTAGCACTTTTTCTTATAGTAAAATTCATTTATAACGACAAAATGACGTCATTCTAAAACGCAATTCATTCGTAAAAGGCGCACGGGAATGACGTCATTTAAAACACAGTCCTTGTCTGACATGGGGTATGACAGGTTTTTCGGTGTAAACGTTAGATAATCTTATTAACATGCGTATTTTTCTATCGTGCTGACGATATGTATTAATTTTTAGATTAGTCCAACAGTCTGAAAAAGAACCCTACTGTATACTTATAAAAACCTTTTGTGTGACTAACCGGACACTTTAATGACTACGTTGAACAAATAAACCTCGGAGATAAAAACATGCAAACTTGATCAAGCACTTTGGTGTTTTATAAATGTCGACGACGTCGCGGTCTTTGAGCTGTGCCGCTGTTGCGTTCCCATGGTTATTTCAGGCGACCTAAGGCGGTACTTTGCGCAGGTATAAATCTAATGAAGAAAACATGAAATTTGTCATCATTAAAAACAAATCCGAGTAATTCTGGATCATGCTTTGTTCGTCTACATGATGTACACGCCCTACTATAACTTTGATATGTAATATACCTTAAACTTATAGTCACCATGGAATACAAGAATACATGTATATGTATATGGGTGACCTGTTCCAGTGAAGAGTAAACCATTTAAAGCGAATAAGTCTATAACGGGAGGTCTCTAATACCATTAGTAAGTATGTTGATAGTGTTTATTATCATACATGAAGAAACATGTTGTTGGTAAGTGTAAAATTTATACATTGTAATTCGATATTACATTCATATTGCAAGAATAAACTGTTCCAAAACACAGTACTATCAATTACTATAGTATGTTCATTCTTAATCGCTTATACCTCTACCAACCTTTTTTCATGACATAAGTTATAAGAATATATTTATTTTATTATATAATTGCATTTCTATTGTTGTTATCAATATTTAAAAAAATGAAAATGTGCATATTACAGATTGAGTTCACTTTAATTGTTTGAGCTATAGTAAGCACAAACCTCTTAAGAGATATATATGTGAAAAAGATTTCTTACTAAAAAAGAAATTTGTATAAGCACAGAAAAAAATAGAAAACAAGTAAATAAAAACAAAATAAAATAATGCCTAAAAATCATAAATATTTCTATACATAAAAGTTGTTCGATAAAAGTTATTTGTTATTATTTCTATTATTTTGTTTCAAAATCTAAAATAATTCTTTAGAACATGACGGACTGAAGAATTTCCTAATAGTTAAAAATTACACTGAAATTTCTTACACCTTTGGAAACAAAAGTACGTGACAGCACATTTGACATGTCATGTGACCAACCAAATTAGCCGAGCACCGAACCATAAAAATATTTTTTTGTTTATTTTTCCTGCTACTTATTTGAAAGGAATATGACATAGTTTTTAATACGGAATACTTCCTTCTTTGGACTGACCCATGTGTGATAAATAAAGACCTTTAGAAATAAATGAAAAAAAAAATATAACCCCGCACGTATTGGCGATCATTGTTACAACTTGACCACGCACTTGCTCCAATATATAAAACAGGAAAACTCCTATTAAAAGCTCATCTATGGTCATATACTATTTAATACTTACAATTAATTTTGCGGAAACAGACATCATTGACATACAATGGAAATCATTTGATTTCTAAATCGCAATATATATGATTTTGTCCTAGATTTAACACAAGATTTAATTAGTCAAAACCACTTTTCCTTGTTTTTGTGGGAAGACTTAAGTGATTTCAAGAAAAAAAGTATTGTCTTTTTTATCATCCTACATCTCATTGTGGTATCTCCTTACAGCAACGAGGTAGTATCATCATTTGTTTGTTTATATTGAAGTTATAAAGAATACAACGGGAAAAAGAATATTTTTACTGAGATAACGGATTTCAGTGAACGGTAAGATAACTTGCTTTTATTTTTAGTAAACAGAAGTTAATAATTTAAATTGTAACATCATTTGTAAATTATTCTTCTATAATTGTACATGTGTATTAATTATTTTAAGATAAAAAGGAACAATATTATATAATTTTAAATGTCTTGCAACATTTATTTTTGTTTCCGGAAATATGAATTATTGTACATTATATGTTTAACGTTGAAGATATTCAGTTATGAATACGTGACCAGCTGTTGAAAAAATGTTATTTAACACTGTACCTGAATCATGTCTATTTGTTTTGCATAATCATTTAATAATTCAATTTGAAAATATCAAAACCTCCGTGTTAGCCACAATCATGTTTAAAGCTTGTTTAAATAAGCATGTTTTAGCGTATTTCAGGGTGTTTTAGCGTTTTAAAGCAGCACGCCTCCAGATTTATCCTTATTTTCATGAAAATTTTGATGTATTTAAAAGTAAAATATTGTAATGTGAGCAAAGAAAGTAATTAACACATTGCAATCGTTATAATCCACGTAAATTATTAAAAAGAGGTCATAATATTCAAAAATAGCCCCTACTGCGTTAGTAACGCAGTAAAAATATGGTGATAAAAACTGCAAAAATCAGTCATTAATTGCACACAAGATATAAAATATCACTTGAATCTTTTATTTGTTTACTTTTCTAGAAATCTAAGTACGTTTTTCCCAAGTTTAATTTTCTTGAAATATTTTGGCTCATCTTGAGGCATGCATATTTATACCAAAAATAAAGTCAGTCATCTAAATGGTTTTAAATTCATATATGATACATATACATATTGATATTATACTCTCAAATGAACGAATTCCCAGAGAAAACTGTCCTCCACCTTTAAAAACACCAAAACATAAAACAGTTCACCTGAAATACTTTTACGTTGTTGACCGTATGAAGTTACAATTTCTTCATTGCTAGATTTAATTGGTTTTCATTTACCATTTAAGCCACATATATACATGTATACTAAGTGTTACATTTCAAACCAACTTTCATAAATAGAAAGCCGATGTAGCATTAAATTTTGACCCCGTTAAAATGACTCCTTGGATCAATGCTTAACTTGGAGAATTGACCCTGGGCCATTTTTAGCTTCAAAAATGATTTTATCTCTACCGTTTGAGTTTTGCAGATCCTATTTAACCATGTAATTATTCCCTTCCATGAGAAATTTACAATTATTGTAAAATTGTAAATGATCTAAGTATTAATATAAGTGGGATAATGTAAAACATGTGATCTTTTTAAAGCCATTATAACATATCAACTTTTATAAAATATTTCCTATTCTTTTTCATATTTTGTTTTTCAATAAACAAGGAAGTTGTTAAGGGAGTGGGTATAAAAACATGAAAATTCTGCGACATTATACACATTTGTGAAGCATTATAATTGTCTAATAGAATCGCCTGTATTCAACAGAAGTAAATATATCAAACTCTAATCCTGTTGGAATGAAATGAAATGATAAGTCTTTACCATTTAGTATAGAGCCGAACCAGGCAATACATACGTGTAGCCTGAAAAGACTCTTTAATGTTGGTTGCTCAAGTTTTGTACTGTTATATTGAAGTACAGACTGTTCTAAAAAGTACAAGGCAAAAACAAAAACAACAACCAAAAACAACAACAACAACAAAAAACAATGCTTATTCATTACACAATTTCAGCAAAGCAAAGTCATGGATACAACTGTACCATTATTTAATTTATATTTACCAGAACTACGCATTATCTTTCACGAACGATATTTTTTCTCGCTCGTTTCATCCTTAAAAATAGTTAGCAATACAGTTAATTATTTAAGAAGTTGAAACGGTAAAGCAATGGGAAATGAGGACTACAAATTTGTATACATTGCAAATTGTGGCTACTTAATATAATATTATTCTTGTCATGCAATAAGTAGTTAGTTAATAAAATATCCTCCTTTCCATACAAGTATCATCGTCATGTATTTAAAGCACTTATGTATTTACGATGAGTCAAACAAGGAAAAATTTAGAAGAAAGTTCATACAAGTGTATAAGTGGCCAATTTAAGTGAAGACCAAGTTTTGATAGGTGTTAGTGTAAGTATAATTGTCATTTTACAATTATAGTTCTGTAGATAATTGACCAAAAAAGAAAGGAGCCAGAAACAATAAAAATAAAGAAAACGTACTTGAAAGTACTTATAGAATTATGAAAAAATAATTATTATTCAAGTTCGCATTCGAGAATCCAAAAATGGAAAAAAAACATCATCAACAACAACACTGTATGGTATATATTCTATAGATAAAAATAAGCAATCTTATAAATTTTCTTTATGTTTTCAGATTAAGATGAAAGATTCAGTCTATTAGGCGACAAACAGCTTCAAACAGATAATGCGATAGGAATCTTCATCTTTTACAGATATCTTTAGTAAACAGTGCACAATTTTATTTGCATAGAAAAATATTACTTCGAAGGATAATCACAAAACAACCACTCTGGAGCACGTGAAAACTATGGCAACCTTTGTATATTCAACAGATTTCAACAACGCTACTTTCTCAACTGCTAAAATGAGCGACGACAACAATTTATCTACAACAAGTTCTTTCAATAACGACAGTGACCTTTACGACAACACTAGCATTTATTTGGATGACTACAATAATTCCAATCATTACGACTACGGATATAATGAATACGGATCTTATGAATACGAAGAATATGTGTATGTTGGCTACCCTTTTGAAAGACCTGTTTACTTGTATATTTGGAATATACTTGTTATTTTACTATTTTTGGTGAACGTCGTTGTAATTTCAGTTTTGATGCGCAGAAAGATGCGCACTGCAACAAATATGATTCTCTCCGCCATTTCAATATCAGATACAATGACTGGACTTGTTACCTTGCCAACTTACATCATGGTGTATCATAATACACAGGATCCGCTGCAATATGAAGATGATTCTCACATTAATAGCACAAATATTACACAACATTATGACACCCTGGTCACTCAACCTTCTGTGGATGTATATTTTTTAACAAAGGACTTGTGTCGTGGATTTATGTTATCAAAATATTTCTTATCTAAAATGTTTCACACTGTGTCAATTTTTTTGACATTGTTTCTTGCTGTTCACAGATACGCTTCGGTTGCCTTTCCACACAATTCTCAACATATTTTTTCCATCAGAAATACCGTTATATTTTGTGTGATAATCTTCTTTGTCTCACCACTCCTTCATTTGTACCACGTGGCGACAGATAAAGCGGTTGATGGCTTATGTCAATGGGAGCTTCGCGAGGATGGTTGCGGAGGAGACTGTATCTTTCTTTGGATATTGTTTATAGTTCGTCATTTCATACCTTGTGTCAGCCTAACAATATTCACTGTTCTTTTCATTAAACATTTACGAGGTGGTGCACGGAATTTTCAAAACGCAGATAAAAACTCTCCACAAACATTGAAACGAAGGGTAGAAAATCGACGTATTTCTACCATTGTAATAGGTATTGTAGTGGTGTTCCTTATTCCCGAGATACCATACGGAGTTTTCCTCCTCTATCATGCTATCGACAAAGCAACAACGAATGGGGACAATTCCAACCTGGAAGTCAACAGAGGCATCCATATGGGCTATGAATTGCTTCTTGTGCTATCTTTCAACGCAAACTTTTATATTTACACATTTTTGAACAGGAAGTTTCGTAAATGTTTGAAACGAACATACTTGTACCCACTTCAGAGATTTGTTGGAGACCAGAAGGGACTTTCTATTTCAAAATCGTCTTCAATATCTACAAGGGCCACAAGAAAGACGGACTGTGGATCCTCCCAAGGAGCAATGGAAATGAAGTCGATGCAGACCAGTAGTTCGGATAAGTCTGTCACAATGCAAACAAAGTTGCAATAGTAACATTCTTGACGGCAGTAAATACATTCATAAAAATGGACTTCGGCTATCTTGTGTTTACGCGAACACTTGCGATCGAGCAAATAAAATTAATAAATGAATAAAAATAAATCAGCGAGGGAGTTAGTGAATGATTGTGTGGGGAGTATGAATGTTGAATTTGCAGAGTTTTGTACAACTATCCATGTCCTCTCTAGTTTTTAACATTTGATAGTAGGATATAAGACTGTTTAAAATAGTTAAGTGTTAAACAATGCTATGCTTTTAATAAAATTGCCTTATAAAATTCAGGTTGGTGTGTACATCTTGACACACTTGGATTTGTAAGCTTTTTCTTGTGTACATTTGTGATTGTATATCCATCGTTTGAATCAGTTCTATTATTTTCAGTTGCGTTTTTAAAAACAAAATTGTTTAGTCTAGCCTTGCTAAAAAGATATGTACACAAATAATACACAAATAAAAGAATACATAAATAAAAGGAAATTCTAAATCATTATAATAGTTTATATTTTAAACTATCAACACTTCTTTCTCCAAATTTTGCAAGATCTAGAGATTTGGTCACTTACAGGACATTTTAGACAACATGTTTATAATAAGTCCTCAATATATATTTTCAATATATTTGATGCCGTAAAACTTTCAAATTTATACAGATGAATACAGAACTAGAATTCGTAAGCAACAACGGCTTTTATAGTTTTAAAGTTAACAATCAACTTTATATTATATTTGATACTTAATAACTTTGTTTAGAATATTTAGTAAAACATGAAGTAAAAACTAACAAATACAGGGTGGAAGTAGAGGTTTCCTAGCATAAAATGTTTCGTATTTTGACATTTTCTATAATGACCCTTTTGATAACAGGTTATTTAAGATGCTGCCCCTTTGTCAGACAAAATTGAAAACGTTGCAGGATCGGTTTGATTGAGCGAGTTCATGGACGGTACTGGAAAGTGCAAACTACATTTCATGCCACTACAATAATGATCTTCATGTACAAAAATATAATAAATAAAATAAGATGAAACAATTGTAATTTGGCATAATCGTAATTCTAAAAGGCGTTTAAAATATGTGCCATTCATTGTCATAACCAGGTGATAATTCTGTGGTATGTTAAAAGCTTATTGGATTTTCCTTTTAAAATCCTTTTATTTATAAAATCATTCTGTTGAACAACGACTTTTTGTTATAATCATATTAGCAGGAGGAGTCGAATCTTGATACAAAATATCAAACACTGTTTTGCCTGCAGATGAACCAAAAAGTATACTGTACTTAAAACTAAGAGAGTTGATTAGGAAAAGTCCAAGAATGTCATTTTCTTCTGTGTACTGCCTTATATTGTATATAGTACGGATGTGTCTACTGTGTACCTGTTTGATATTCACTTATCAATTAACTAGAGTAAGTTTTATCATGTTTGCAATGCATCCTGTAGCAATTGTGTATACAGTGTTTAAAAAAGTCATAGGTCTCCAATTTCTATACGGATTGTTAAGGTTTAATTTTAAAAGCCGTCATTATTTTAAGTATTTTAGTTTTATAATATCAGAAATTAAATGTTAATAAAAAGTGGAATTTATACAAGACACTCATTATACTGTGAATTCATAACGTTTGAATTTGTTAACAAATACATAATTTAGATTGCATGCAATTTTATCTTTAAATAGTCTTGTGTTTTATAGGCTAAGAAAACCACATAGAAAATATTTACTGGACTATCTATTGCGAAAATATTGTTACTTTTTCAGCAAGTTATATGTGCTATGTAAATGTCTAAAATAAAAAGTATTTACATACGTTCAAGATTAGTTTTGTCTTCTTCTCTCTCCATATAGTAGCTAAAATCTGAACAAACACGTATATGGTGTCGTGATAGGAAACATAGTTTCAATCTGAAACCAACCAGTAATTGTGTCGTGTGAGAAACATGGTTTTGACCTGGAACCAACCAGTAACAGTGTTTTATGAAGAAATATTGTGTTGACCTTGAACCAGTCAGTTATGGAGTCGTTTGAAGTATCTTGATTTTGACACCGAACCAATCAGTTATGGAGAAGGGTAAGGAAACATGGTCTTTACCTGGAACTAACCAGCCATGGGACCGGCTGAGAAAACATGGTCTTTACCTGGAAATAACCAGCCATTGGACCGTCTGAGGAAACATGGTCTTTACCTGGAACTAACCAGCCATGTGACCGGCTGAGGAAACATGGTCTTTACCTGGAACTAACCAGCCTTGGGGCCGACTGAGGAAACATGGTCTTTACCTGGAACTAACCAGCCATGTAACCGGCTGAGGAAACATGGTCTTTACCTGGAACTAACCAGCCATGGGGCCGGCTGAGGAAACATGGTCTTTACCTGAAACTAACCAGCCATGTGACAGACTGAGGAAACATGGTCTTTACCTGGAAATAACCAGCCATTGGACAAGCTGAGGAAACATGGTCTTTACCCTGGAACTAACCAGTTATGGAGAAGGGTGAAGAAACATGGTTTTTATCTGGAACTTACCAGCCATGTAACCGGCTGAGGAAGTATGGTCTTTACCTGGAACAACCCAGCCATGGGGCCGGCTGTGGAAACATGGTCTTTACCTGGAACTAACCAGCCATGTGACCGACTGAGGAAGTATGGTCTTTACCTGGAACTAACCAGCCTTCGGGCCGGTTGAGGAAACATGGTTTCGACCTGGAACTTACCAGCCATGTGACCGGCTGAGGAAGTATGGTCTTTACCTGGAACTAACCAGCCATGTGACCGACTGAGGAAGTATGGTCTTTACCTGGAACTAACCAGTTGTGAGGAAACATGGCCATGACCGTAAAGGCGTCTTGTGAGGAAACCTGGTCTTGAACTAGAAACGATTAGTAATAGAGTCGTGATTGGACAATGATCTTAATTAGGATAATGGTCTTGATCGGCAACAAACCAGTAATGTTGTCGTGTGACGAAACATGGTCTCGACCTGGAACTGATAGGAAAGAGTGTGATGTAAGGAGACATGCTCTTCACTCCAATACTCTTGTTTCTAAAATTGTTTTATTCTAATATAGATTAAGTCTTTATTATCGGCACTAAATTAAGTAGGATTGTTATCACTATGAACATAAAACCTTAACAACTTAGTTGTCACCGCTTCCCGAAAAAGTTAATGGTCTATTAACATTCGGAAATTTTTAAACTTTGTATTAAAAATAACCATGAAATATTCAACTAAGCTTAGTCTAAAAAGAACAAGTACAAATGTTGCTGCAATGCAGCAATTGAGAAACTCCGCGCAAAAAAATGCACTAATTACAGATACCTTACCAAATTATTCCTACGCGCAGGTCATGTTATATTCAGATTAAGTACTATTGTAGATTTTTTCCCGAATGTTTTGTAAACCATATTTTGCATAATTATACTTATCTTATGCACTGTCCATAATTAAAAAGAGGGGAAAGATATTTAATATAAAAAATGCTTTCACTGATGCCTACCTGGTAAGGAAAGTAATTCCATTGAATATAAACAAAACTTACAAGACTTGTAAATGTGATGTGACTTGACTGTACTGTGTTCTGTTTGTGTCACTACTGTAGTCAGTAACATAAGATGAAAAAAATATCAAAGCCTGTTTTTTTTATTATTATAATTGTAACAAATATACAAATAGTAACAAAAGAGACTTATGCTATAATGAAGTAATATAACATGCATTTTTTTTCATGTCAAATTTAAAAGAAAAATGGTTTCTTTCAATACTGAAAGTAGAACACACTCTGGAATGAAAAAATGGGATGAAATGCAAATAGACCAAATTCAGGAATGTTTTGATTGTTATACACGCGTTACATGGTGAATTTTAGGCAGGTATGAGGAAATTCACTAACATCATGTTCGTGCGAGTCAAAGATATAAAAGCTTTTTGACATTGGTGATATATATAAAAAAACTAATGTTAATTGATTTATTTGGAGATTAATATACTTTCTTGTTGAATTGCTTTAAAACCATTAATAAAAAACATTACACTTCATGTTCAAACTGCAGATCCTATCAATGATGCTATCTATCTATAGCCTATGCTTCATGAGGGTCTATCCGCTCGTAAGGCCACAACATGCAGCTTTCACTGTCGAGTACTGGCCCCGGACATGTCACCAGTCAGAGTTAATTTTGAAACACTTTTAGTGGTATGCAATACCAATAATGCCAATGAAATGCAACCTTATATACTAAAGTTTAATTATTTCAAAACAACCACTATATCAGCATGTTATTATTAAACATTTAATTTCATAAATATAAATTAAGAATAATTATCAAAAGCAAAATTATTAAAGTCTTATGCCTGAAATCTTCTTTATATTGACAAATACAATCACTATTAGTATACTTGATATGCTGTGTGTAAATGTAATTTAAAATGTAACAAATTATAATTTCATGTACTACTAAAATAGGGAAATAACAAATTTCTACTAAGTGTCAAAAATCAGAACATTTATAGCTATTTTCATGGACAGCAGAACTGCTTTCCGGTTCTCATTCATCAATATGACATGCTGCGAATCACCGAAGGGGAAACCAATATAGAAATCGAAAGGAGTTCTTGAATGAGGATTTATTTTTAGCTGTAAATCGAAGGGATTAATTGATCAAATCCGGGCCCATTGACAAAAAAATAGTAAACACAAATAGCTCCGCGCCTGTGGGCGCGGAGCAATAATCAAGAATTGTTCAAAACCTTGGTATTTATACAAGTATATTATTAAACGTAATGACTGCTTAATTAATAATTAAGTCGAGCAATAAGGATAAATTTGCGTATGGTAGGCTTAAGACGATGAATGATGTCTTTGGTGAATAATAATATACAGCTGTTCCCCTTGTAAGATTTGGAATCTCTGAGTTATTAATTTTCTTGTCCCTGTCCAATGATATAAACTGACGAAAAATCGCCTCAGTCTTCATTTAGAAATATCTTAATAATATGCAACAAGTACTTTTTCTTCATTAAATTTGAGAAGTATATAATCTAAAAATACACGTATCATTAATATGGTATTTGCCGAGATGTATGAAAAAAATATAGATGTATGTATTATATGTATTATACATATATATATATATATTATAAATCGACTTTACATTTTTGACTGACGCTCTAGCAGCCCACACCGCAACTACATAAAATAATATTCATATTCGTACAATTATATTTGTGATATTTAATTTCACTGATAATGTTTTATAATCACATCTTTTTGGTTACCTTTACTACTGTCTTTGACTTGTTCTACAAAAATAACTATTTTCACACTATACGTTACCTGTTTAGGGTATAAACATTGTCAAAATTTCTTTTACAACAAACTGATTATGCATCTAGATACATCATACATTTATCACTCGTCAATGATAAAGGGAATACTTATGTAAATGCTATAAATTTACATGTATAAGGAAAATTAAAAGGAAAGTACTTATTGAAATTAGAGTTAATTACAATTCTTCGAAAAAGAAAAAGATAAAGAAACAAAACATGGAAGAAGGAAAATTAATGCTTTATCTAAAATTGTCCAGATGTTTACATTCTTATTAACATTATAATTAGCAGGCACAGGTGTACGATACGATACAAACAAGCACTTACAATGCGACTTCTATTAAGCGGCTCTATGCAGTGCTATAAACATTTTACACAATATTTTATATCAACAATATCGATTATTACAGAAGTAACACTTCACTATAAATCAAACTGCTATAAGCAACACATTTCAGCGCCCGCCCACTAAATTGCTTGTCTTATTGAGATTCGGTGCTAGGGAGCGTGATACATGTTAACTTTACATTATGACTCCAACAAATAGTCTAAATCAAACCGAGTCTGTTAAATTTAGATCGATTTCATTTCTCTCATTCGATCTTCACTTTTCCATATGTTCATTATTCTACAGAGGCTATACTGTTAGATATTAAGATCGTGTCTATTACATCACAAGTTAATTTGAGCCGCGTCATGACAAAACCAACATAATGGGTTTGCGACCAGCATGGATCCAGACCAGCCTGCACATCCGCGCAGTCTGATCATGATCCATGCTGTTCGCTTACAAACTCTATAACAAGTAGAGAAACCGATAGCGAACAGCATGGATCCTGATCAGACTGCGCGGATGCTGGTCGCAAACCCATTATGTTGGTTTAATCGTGACGCGGCTCATATATAGAATCCATTTATGATGACATTTTGTCCTTATAACACATTGAAACAAATATATAAACTTCAAGTTATATACAGCGCTAATATCTATAACCTAAAAGCCACTTGACTTTGATCCCGGAAGGTATTAAAGCAGTTAGAGTTGTAGATCAGCAAGCTTTTTCAAAACCAAAAACGAAGAAATAACCATTCATTTTACTCTATATTGCTAAGGAGGATACACTAAGTTTTTTAACCATGGATAACCAGGTGATCTGAAGCATTTCTCTTTCAAAAAGTATATGAGCTCGTAATATTTCACACAATCCTTGACAATATCTATATTCTTGTATCGTTTGTTTGTTTGATTTTAAGCCACACTGACGCTACAAAGGTCATATAGTCACTGTCTAGCTATACTAGTGGAGGGAGACCTCGGGTGCCCCTTCGCAGATTATTTCAGACAGTAGGATCACGTAAGGTGGATACATGAAAGAATCAAAGTCACAGACAGGATTCGGACTTACAGCGGTGACGGGTCAAAAAGTTTGAAGTTGGCGCCCACGTACTTTTACTTGGTACTTTTAAAATGATTCTAACATATAAT